GGGGGGGCAAGACCCAAGGATAGACCAGAGCAAGTACGTCGAGCTCTTTGGAGGGTACTGCTGAAGTCAAGATCCTTTAGTTTTGATTTAATTTCTCTGAGCGACTCGTTTAACAATGAAGCTGTTATATCAATCCCCAAGGTTGTTAATTTCTGTGTAATTAGCTTTGATCGACTGCTCTTGTAGGTGTCGCAGGGGATTAAATGTGAGAAACCCACTTTATTCGTGCTAGGTGGAATCTTTTAAGGCAATAGAATGGCACCATGTTTTACACAAAACTGATGTGAAATAATTCAAACACAGCAGCCCTACAACATACCTGAAAGATGGTCATTCAGCCTCCACTTGAAAACATCCAACAAAGGAGCCTCTACCACCTCCCAAAGCAGTCTGTTCCACTGCTCGACCACTCTTACAGTTAGGAAGTTTCTCCTGATATTTAGCCAGTAACGACTCCCTTGTCATTTCCATCCATTAGATCTAGTCTCAAATACTTTGGCCACCCAATGAGAAGGGAGCACTCACTGGAGAAGACCCTGATGCTGGGAAAGATTGAAGGTCAAAGAAGACGGGGACGGCAAAGGATGAGATGGTTAGACAGTGTCATAGATGCAACGAACATGAAATTGAGCCAACTTCAGAGGATGGCGGAAGACAGGAAGGCCTGGCGTGATCTGGTCCATGGGGTTGCGAAGAGTCGGACTCGACTGTGCGACTGAACAACAACAACACAATCATGTCCCCTCTGAGCCTTCTCTTTCCCAGGCTAAACAGACCCAACTCTTTCAGCCTTTCCTCATAAGACTTGGATCCCAACCCCCTCACCATCCTGGCTGCCCTCTTCTGTACACGCTTGAGCTTGTCAACACCCTTCCAAAAATGTGGTGCCCAAAACAGGACACAGTACTCCAGAATCTGGCGAATCTGGCACTGTCGCCACTTAACTTCAAGAGCAAAAGCATAAGGAAGAGGCAGACTGACAAGGCAAGGACATCAGATGACTCAAGAAAGACAAGGAATCTGGACAATTCTGAGTCGGTCTTTGGGAGAGCGGGCTATAAATTAAATAAATAATAGTAAATAATAAGTTGCTGGAGGACCTTGAGGTAGATTTGCTTGGGAATACTTTGGCCCTTTTCTGTGTGACTAATAGGATGAAGATATCTGCTTAGATCCCTGGCATTTATGCTACGAGATCTTGCCAAGTTCCATCTTGTTCCCCATACTCTTGAACATCTACTGTTCAGTGGCGGCTCCACACTGGTGGAATGAGCTCCTGAAGGACATCAGGGCCCTGCAGGACCTTTTACAGTTCCGCAGGGCATGTAAAACGGAGCTCTTCCACCAGGCCTTTGATTAAGAGCTGTCACTGACGTATGAGTCATCGGACACTGAATACGCTAAGGCTCTCATGTTACAATGTTGGCTATCGCCTACCTTCATCGGACCCTGTATTGAAGCCGCCATCTGTACCTACTAGCACTTTATGTAAATTGTTTTTGATGTGAATTTTATTGTATTCATTGATTTATCTCATTTTAATCTCCCTGATATAACCACAATTGTGCAGAGCTTATATGCTAGCACGGTTCAATGTTCTCCCCTCTGCTATTCTTGAGGGGAGATATAAGCAAATCCCTTATGCAATTAGATATTGCGGATAAAATAAGAGTGACATAGAAACAGTTGAGCATGTACTTTCACGTTGTAATTTGCTAAACGACATTCGAGCGAAATTTCTGGAAGTCCCCCTTAGCAAGGTAGCATGCCAACCGGACGGAAGCAAGCTATACTACCTCCTTACTTCTCGAGATTCGGAGATTATTGAATTGACTGCCAAGTCTTTTATGGTCTTATAAAATGGAAAAATGTCCCTGATCATTCTAATTGAGTTCAATGAGTTTGTATAATTTAATTCAAGGTTTTGTGGTTGGGCAAAATTTTATCTTGCTATAATTTAAGCTCATATAAATAGACATACCTTTGTAATGCTTTTAGAAGTTATTTATTTTCCACAAATTTTATAGGATTTGTTTTACCCTAATGGCAACTGTCTAATATTTTATGCCAATAAAAAGTATTTGTTTGTTTGTTGTTTATCTCATTTTAACTTACGTACACCGCCTTGAGCCCAGTTCACCCGGCAAGGCAGGATATAAATTGAAAGTAATAAATAAATAAATAAATAAATAAATAAAATACTGGGAAAGGGTATCAATAAGACCTCACTGAGGACCTTGGTAATTGGAGGGATGGGAGAGCAAAATGGCCATTGCCCCTGTGGCAGGAATTCTACTTCTCCCATGACTCCCTTCCGTAGTCATCTCCCCTCTTACCGCTTCTTTTCAGACTTTTTCCACAGGGACGGTTCTCCCCGTGCCTCCACGTGTTCCTCCGCTGCTTTCCTTGGTTTCTGCAGATTTTTTTTTGCAGTCCCAGGTGCAAAAATGCAGTTTGTCCCCTCTTGCTCCACAGCATCAGACTTCCCTGTTTCCGGGAATCCCCATGCTGTGCCACAAGAGGGCGGCAAACTGCGTTTTTCCTTCTGGGGCTGCAAAAACATCTGCAGGAACAAGGGAAAGTGGTGGAGAGACACAAGTGTAGGCATGGGGAGAGCTGTCCCTGCAGAAAACGGTCACACGAGCGGCAGAATCCGCACTGGAAGGGAGGCATTTTAGAGGCGGAGCTAAAAGAAGCACGGGAGCATGATCTTACAGTCCCCTGCGGATCTGTCCTCAGGCCGTCGGCAGCCGATCACACCAGGGAGGCAACAGCGTAATCCCAGCGAGGCAACACGGCAGTACTGCGTTACTGCGCATGCGTGGGTCGCGGACGGCTGGTGGATGCTACGGGCTACCGGTGCATCTCCAATCAGATACCCACCCATGCCGCGCATTTACCGGAAGCTACTATCTTTTCCCCAGTGCCTTTTAAATCCGCTTCTTCGGGCCGATAGTACAGGTTGGAGACGGGTGCGCTATGCTTCCCAGATGTTGCCGTATGATCGCGCCCGTTTGATGCGCCCTCAATCTGTCCATTTTGTGGGACAAATTCTCCCACGTGACCGGGGCCAGTGTTACAGCCTAGGCAGCTGCATTTGGGGACCAATCAGATTGGTGGGGGGTTGGGTCCTCCTAAAGACCCCACACCTATACATGCTTACCTTGCAGAAAACCTCCAAAGTGACATTGTGGGCAAAAATTTGGTGACATCTCTTTTTTTAAAAAATTATTGAAAGTTAAAAGTTAAACAATGCAGAACATTAACATCAACATTACAGATTAGAGTTCAAGAAAATACAAGCTTCATAATGGAGAAATTTAAAGGTAAGTAGTAACTCAAACAAACAGAAATGATATTCTAAAAGGCAATACTATAGTGACTAGAAAGATGAAGGTTAGAGAACACAGGACATGTGTTAAGTATTGCAGAACTTAAAGATTGTATACAAGGTTATGACCAGACATTGTAAGAGAGGAGGTAGAAGAAGTAGTTACACGTATAAAAGTTTTAGATATGTAGAATTGTGTGGTTGAAGATCTGTCGCTGCAATGAATTCCATAAATGGAAACCATTTCTCTGTGAAAGTTGGTACTTTGGGATAGATCTCTGATCCATGTAAGCAGTCTGTGATCTTTTCTAATAAAGTGATCCCAGACTCTGTTGAGCCATCTGGAACAAGTAGGTGCCTTGTTGGGGAAAAATTTGGTGACATCTCTAATGTGCATGACATTCCCAGCGGGATTTTTTTCATCTTTATTTTCCAAGCTGACAATGTCTGAGTTCTGTGCCTGACTCACTGCACTTATTAAACTAATTTGAGTCAAACATCCTGCAGATGCCTTGCTCAGGAGGTAATTATAAATCCAGGCTGAAAGGGGATTAATTTAATCACTAGGGACACTGTCAAAACTGTATAAAAGCTCGGAGTAGCTTCCACTCTTCCAGCAGCTTCACCTGACACTCTTTGCCTGCGCTTCTCCGCCTTCGACAAGCAGGTAAGCTATCTTGTGTTGCAGCACCCACTTCTTTTACAAATTCTCTACTCCTATTGCTACCTTAGGAGCTGCGGTGGCTCAAGTGGTTAAGACGGTGAACTGCAGGCTGTGGAAGGTCAGTAGTTCAGCAGTTCGAGACCCAGGGGTGCCGTATGACGGAGTGAGCTCCCGTCTCTAGTTCCAGCTCCTGCCAACCTAGCAGTTCGAAAGCAAGAAATTGCAAGTAGATAAATAGGTACCACTTTGGTGGGAAGGGAACAGTGTTCCGTGCACCCTGGTGTTTAGTCATGACGGCCACATGACCACGGAAATGTCTTCAGACAGCGCTGGCTCTTCGGCTTTGAAATGGAGATGAGCACTGCAACCCTAGAGTCAGACTCGACTGGCTTTCGAGCAAGGGAACCTTTACCTTTACCTTTATTGCTACACATAAAGGGCTGCTTCCACTGGGGATGCTTCCCAAATTCTTTTTCTAACGTCCTCCTGGAATTTGGCTTTTCAGATCCCCACGCCTTGCTTCACCATACTCTTCTGAGCTTGTGTGTAATATCTGTTCCCCGTCTACTTTATCAATCTGCAAAAAATAGTTTCAGAGGGTAAACATGTTGGTCTGCTGTACAACTGTTACATTTGAGTCCAGTAGCTCCCAGTGTTCCCTCTAAGCTGAGTTAGTGTGAGCGAGCTCATAGTTTTTTAGCCTCCGGCTCACACATTTTTTCCTTAGATCAGGAAGGATGTCTCCAGAGCAAACTAATGTATGGGGTAGCCAAATGGCTCACTCAAAACTTTCATGCCAGTAGCTCACAAAGTAGAATTTTTGCTCACAAGACTCCACAGCTTAGAGGGGCCATTGGTAGCACCATAGAGACCAACACAATTTCAGGATATAAGCTTGCGAGAGTGAAAGCTCCCTTTGTGAGATATGAGTGAGCTACTTGTATCTGATGAAGGGACCTTTGACTCTAGAAATCTTAAATCTTAAAAAAAATCTATTGGCCTCTGTGGTGCTATTGAACTCGAATCTAATCATCCCACAAGCATCCATGTAAAGGCTCAAGTGCTGATTCCCAGAACTAAAGAAGGCCCCGGTCACACAGGGGAAATTGATGTGGCCAAAGTATGGCTTTTTAGAGCTGCACCAAAAGAGACACACGGTGGCGGGATCAGACAGATCCCCTGAGCCGCCATGCAGTTGCTCCCTGGCATGATCAAATGCCGAAGGGGAAGCCACGGAAGGGAGAGCGAGGCAGCCGGCTGCGCATGTGTGCGCATGCGCAGTTCAGCTGGGAACCTCAAATGCTCCTGAAGACAGACGCACCAGCAATCCCATGGCCACGCTTGCTGCGGCGTTTCAGGTTGGTGCTATTATTTCCTAGGTTTTTCCGGCGTTTTCGCCCTGAAGGGACGGATTGGGGACAGATGCACGCCGCTTACCAGATGTTGTGGTGTGATCGCACCCGTTTGCTGCGCCCCCAATCCATCGCTCTTGCGGGCCAAAACTTCCCGTGTGACCGGGGCTGAATTTAACCTTCTCCCAGCCCCCAGGAACCAATCAGCCAGGAGTGCATGGTTCTTTCATCCTCAGATGCTTTAAGGTAGTTTACCAGTCTCATTGATCAGCAAGCACTTAACTTCAGCTAACCCAGCAATCGCCAGTTAGGGTCTAATCAACTCCTCAGGACTAGGTTGACACAGTTAATCTCACCAAAACTATATGAAACAAGCAAAAAGGAAGGTCTGAAACGAATCCCCAAACTTCTTCAGGCTCACAGTAATTGCCTAATCCTGTATAGCCAGCTTGGTGTAGTGGTTAGCAGCACGGGCTCTTATCTGGGAGAACCAGGTTTGATTCCCCACTCCTACACATGCAGGTGCTGGAGTAACCTTGGGTCAGTCTTCAATTCTTTCAGGGCTGTTCTCTCAAGGGCAGTTCTCCAGAGAGCTCTCTCAGCCCCACCTACCTCACAGGGTGTCTGTTGTGGGGAGGGGAAGGGGAAGGAGATTGTAAGCTGCTCTGAGACTCCAACAGTCACAAGTTCTCTCAGAGATGTACTCTCAAGAGCAGTCCTTGAAAGATCTCTCTCAGTCCCACCTGCCTCACAAGGTGTCTGTTGTGGGGAGGGAAAGGGAAAGGAGGTTGTAAGCCACTCTGAGACTTCGACTGAAGGGTGGGGTATAAATCCAATCTCCTCCTCTTCCTCTTACTCCTCCTCTTACTCCTCCTCCTCCTCCTCCACTTCATTACCCTCACATCTGCTATCCTTATAACATCTCTCTCAGTTAGTTTAGCCTAAGCAGCCAAAACAAGTCCAAGGTGATCTAGTACATTTTATGACTGATCAAGTATAAGAACAAGGATATCCAAGTCCAAAGAGCATTAAGTACTATGCAATATCCTCATCACTGTAGGTAAGTTATTCCCTTTCATTACCCACTGTTTTTTGTGCCTTCCCCTTACTCCTTTCCTTAATGTTATATTTCAGATACCTCTCCTTCAAGTAATGGCTGGCTACTGTGGTCCACAGTTTGCTGTCCCATCTATTGCCTCCACCCCAAGAGTTGGGTTTGGATCTGCAGGGCTCGGCTTGGGAGCTCTTGGCTGTGGATATGGAGGTCTTAGCTCTGGATATGGAGGTCTTGGCCTTGCACATGGAGGTCTTGGCCTTGTACATGGAGGTCTAGGTTATGGTCTTGGCTATGGCTATGGTCCTGCTGTAGCTGAAACTTCTGGGAGTCTCGGGACCCTGGCTGGAGTCAGCCCTTCCTGCATCAACCAGATCCCACCTGCAGAAGTCGTGGTCCAGCCACCTCCTACTGTCTTGACCATCCCAGGACCCATCCTTTCTGCTACTGGGGAACCAGTTTCTGTGGGAGGCAATGCTCCATGTGCCATTAGTGGTACTGGGGTGGCCGGAGCAGGCTACTATGGGGGGCTAGGAGGCCTTTATGGAGGCCTGGGATCGGGTTCTCGTTTTGGCCTGAGGCAGGGTGGGATCCTTGGAAACAGGGCTCTGCTGGGACGTCGTGCCAGTATCTGTTCATCCCCCTGTTGAACCTGAGGAGAATGTATCCATCGTCATGGTAATGATTAGGAATGTGAAGACGAGATCCAACGATGAGTTCAAAATGCTAAACTTGAAGAAACATCACTGAATTCAAGAACTCCTGCATGAGAATTGGACATCAATCCCTGCTACCTCTTTGTTTTCTGAACACTACAAGTCTAAGAAGAATGTTGATATTCTTTGTCTTGTTCATTTCCTGCTTCTTGATTTTACTTAATTCCTTTCCCATTTTCATTAAAGCTCTGCATTCTAACATTTGTGTCTTGGTTTTGCTCCTGAAAGTGCTAATTATTTATAGCACACCCAGAATTATCTCCACCTGTTAGAGTTTCATTGGCCATTCTGGTTTTCCACATCTAATTGGGTTTAGGGGAGATTAAGTGGGGACATTATCATTTTTTGGGGGGGGATTGAAACAAAAAACTCATCAGATTTCAAGCAAAGATTAGATGAGTTCACTTTTTGGAGAGAAATTGGCAGCATACTGATGACTATTTGACCACCTTCTAGGAAGAGGCAGTATAGATGGCTACTGAGATATATTCATTGGGCCATGAAGATGTTGGCGCACACACCTTGATTGAATTTAAGGAAACATGCACAGCAATACACTTTGGGATTGAAACCCAAGCTCATGACAGATCAAAGTGAAGCCCTCCCAGCCAGGGCAGAAAGCATTATAAGAGTTGAGCATCATGTGAGAAACATATAAGCCAAGAACTAGGGAACGGGGGAGAAACGGAATGAAATCTGTCTTTCAACAGCCTCTCTTTTCAGAGTTCCAGTGGGCTTATGTACATTCCACGGACAAATAAAAAGTTTCACTGTATAATGGAAAGTAAATTATGGCACCCACTTTGCGGCTGGCTCCACCCCCTGCAGCAGCCATTTTGCGGCAGCCATTTTGAGGCTGCACCCATCACCCTGTGTCAAGAATTCAAGAGGTGTTCAGAGGCTGAAAAAAGGTTGGAGACCCTGGTCTAGGCTATTCCACAACCTCCTGTGCAAAGCATCTTTTAAAAGGAATGATGTTATTTAGCTTCATTCTCCCATGATGAGGACTATTAACCTCAGTTGCTAGAAAAATATGAACATTCAGTCCCACAGAGATGGCAATGGATGTTTGGTGAAGTGTTTTGATGATATCCAGTCCCTCCCCTTGATTGGTTTTTTCCCCCCTCCTAAACAGGAGGCAAATCCAGGGCTCTTTTTGTAGCAATCTACTAAGAGCTTACAGTAGCCCCTGTAAGAAGAGCTCTGTAAGCTCTTGGAGGATTGGCTACATTTGGGGTGTGTCACCTAATATGCAAAGGACTTCCTGCTACAAAAAGAGCCCTGGAAGTGACTATTCTACCATTTGGTGTACTGGTTAAGTGCACGACTCTAATCTGGGAGAACCGGGTTTGATTCCCCACTCCTCCACTTGCAGCTGCTGGATTACCTTGGGCAAGCCATAGTTCTGGGACATCTGTCCTTGAAAAAGAGCCATTTCTGTCAGAGCTCTCTCAGCCCCACCTACCTCACCGAGTGTCTGTTGTGAGGAGGGGAAGGGAAAGGATTTTGTAAGCCGCTTTGAGACTCCTTTGGGTAGTGAAGGGCGGGGTATAAATCCAATCTCTCTCTCTCTCTCTCTCTGTCTCTCTGTCTCTCTCTCTCTCTCTCTCTCTCACACACACACACACACGTAAGGACAATGAAACAAAAAGATTGTGGGGAGGGAAAAGTTGTGAAGAGATTCATTCTGAAACACAACAACAGATTAAATCCTTACATCTTTGTGCTTTGCAGGATAATAGTGTTACCCCCTACTAGCTTTGAATTAAGAAGCTGAATAGCTGACTTTAGTTTCTGGGGGAAATTAGTCAAATGGTAGGCCACAGCAAGAGGTGGGGTAATAGCACTGATCAATGTTTATGGGGATTTTTCCCTTTAAGAGAGCTCTTAATAACCAGTCCAAAGGTAAAATAGAGACTGTTTTATTAAAGGATATTCAGGCCGCACACATGAAACATATACACATACAAGATCTATGGAAATAAAGAGAGTAGCAGATAATAGCAGGGACTGAGGTGATAGCTTCCTTTCCTGTGAGGTCCTTGAAGAAGCAGAAACAGCAAAATGACCAGCGTTTAACTGAAAGGAAGGATCCAGAATACTGTTAATGGGTGTCTGAGATAACATGTACTGCAGTTATGCTGGGCTAGTTCTACCCAAAAATGTGTCCAGAGGACTTGCTAATATGAACAAAGAATTGATGAGATTAATCAGGGCTATTATGGGATAACTCAGGGCTAAGATAATGTTGCTTTGGGAATGTGATAATGAATTCCCAAGACTGGACAAAAGAGGCTGGAGGTTTCTTCTACATGTAAACTAGGCATTGGATTGGGATCCTGATTAGTTCCCCGGGGTCCAGAAGACTAATAGATTGCTAATTTAATCAAAATGGAAACAATACTGCTTGATGAACCACCTAGTCTTGGGGTGTGGGAAAAGCGTAAGAACATATGAACATAAGAGAAGCCAATGTTGGATCAGGCCAATGGTCAATAATACCAGATTCCATCAGGACGTCCAGCAGTGGAGCCGGAACACTAGACGCCCTCCCCCTATTGCCCCCCCCAAGCACCAAGAATACAGAGCATCACTTGCCCCAGAATGAGAGTTCCTATCTATACCTTGTGGTTAATATCTACTGATGGACCTCTGCTCCATATGTTTATCTAATTCCCTCTTGAAGCCATCCATGCTTGTAGCTGCCACCACCTCCTGTGGCCGTGAATTCCGTGTGTTAATCACTCTTTGGGGGAAGAAGTACTTCCTTTAATCTGTTCTAACCTGACTGTTAGGGGATGGGGAATTATGAATATTGTGGCAATAGGTTTTAAGGGAGTAATGACCTTTGTATATCAAAGTCCAGTTTATTCAGATCCCCAGAAATAGACCAGGAGACTAGAACTTAAATACGATTTCTTTTACTAGATGATTCACACACACATACAATAAAAAAACACAATCACACACTCAAACAATATAGAACTAGGAAATTAGAATAGTACAGAAACAGTTGCATGAGCAGGATGTATCATTGGTGGGGTGATACCCTACCTGTCTGATGCAACGAGGTGATCCTGCAGCAAAAAAATAAGGAAAATACTAGGGAAGATATTGTGTGATGGCCTGCAGCACACGTGGTGGACTTCAGACAGCGCTACAAATGAAGTCGGCTAGATAGGGTAGGGTTAGGTAGGCAGGAGACAAGAGAGAGAGAGAACAATGGGCAGATGTTCTCTTTATATACCCTAAGAGGGGCTTGGAGCATGAGCCGACAAGACAACAAGACACATAGTTTCCTGGAAGATGCTAGAAACTGCCAGTTACTTAATGAGTCAAGAGAATAGAATTAAGTGTTGGGCAACTGATATAATGTTTTCTAACAGTGACGCCTCTTAGAGTGGATGGCTTAAGACAAAGGAGAAGAAAAGACAGTCATTCCAGGTGCTTGGCCAGTCAACGATCCGATGACCTGCAGCTGCATTATCTTGCCTACCAACAGCCACTGAGGGAAAAGTTAGTCCCACAGAGGAGCCAAGCAGGCAAAGTGTCTTCCTCAGGAGAGGGAGCATATTCTGGCAGGAAACAGTGGCTGGAGTGGCAGCTGACAGGCCAATGGCTGATGGAGCGCACTGTGGGCAGGACTCAGGCAATGCAACCAGTGGATAGGACAGGTTCTGAGTGACACATCATGGAGCCAACTGATTTAGGAGCATGTGGAATGTTCAGAAAGTGCCACCCCACTATTCAGTTATATATAAAGAAAGACTCAGGCCGGACCAGAGTCATCCAGAACATATGCCTGCTATAATTGTTCTTTCTATGAATGTGGTACAGCAAGGTCAGGGACTCTATGTTCTTTCACAGAGCTGTTCAGGCTCATCAGCAAAGAAGACAAGCCATGGGCATCCCTTGTGATGATATAAAGGACACTGGAACCATCCCTCATTGTGGTTGCCTAATGCCTAAACTTCTTACCCTTCACAAGAGTTACTGGTCTCTTCAAGGCCAAGTTACCTGATGAATTTCTAGACGATCAAAGGAATTCTGTGCATAGTGTAAGTATCTAGCACTTTTACAAGCAAAACCAAGACGCAGATGCTAGGATGCAGACTGAGCTTTAATGGAACAAAGAATCAAGGAGAACAGTTACACAAGGAGAGGGAAATGAAACAGCCAAAGAATACCAGCATACTTCGTAGACGTGTAGAAGAAAAGATGGAGAGTTCATACAAGAGTTCTTCAGTTTAAAGATGTTTCGGCAAGCTTAACTTTTGAAACTCCATGATGGGTCTCATCTTCCAATTCCTGATCCTTACCAAGATTGTGTATCAGTCTTCTCAGGTTCAGTAGGGGAATCCACAGATGCTGCCACGACGTCCCAGTAGAGCCCTTCTTCCAAGCAATGTACCCCTCCTCAGGCCATAACCAGAACCCCAGCCCCAGCCTCCATAATGGCCCCCTAGCCCCCCATAGAAGCCTGCTCCTGCCACCCCAGTGCCACTAATGGCACATGGAGCATTGCCACCCACAGAAACTGGTTCCCCAGTAGCAGAAAGGATGGGTCCTGGGATGGTCAAGACAGTGGGGGGTGGCTGGACCACGACTTCTGCAGGTGGGATCTGGTTGATGCAGGAAGGACTGACTCCAGCCAGGGTTCCAAGACTGCCAGAAGTTTCAGCCACAGCAGGGCCATACCCATAGCCAAAACCATAACCTAGACCTCCATGTGCAAGGCCAAGACCTCCATGTGCAAAGCCAAGACCTCCGTATCCACAGCCAAGAGCTCCCAAGCCGAGCCCTGCAGATCCAAAGCCAACTCTTGGGGTGGAGGCAATAGATGGGACAGTAAACTCAGGACCACAGTAGCCAGACATTGTTTGATGGAGGTGAATCTGAAACAAAACATAAGGAGGCAGCAGTTGTGGTTATTCTTATTTTCCCATTCTTCATGGCCCCCAAGCAACATTTGCATATCTTCATCTTAACTCTCAAAGATAATCTCACATTTCTTGACTTTCTACTGTTCACTTATTCATCGCTCATCTGACCTGAAAGACAGAAACCTCCATCGATTCTACCCTGTTATATTATGGATTTCATCTTTTGCCAGTTTGAATTTCCAGGTGCACCTTGATCTGGAACTGAGCAGAAATCTGCGTCCCCAGTTCATGGGTTCAACAATGG